GTGGGTGCCGACAGGGGCAGAGGGACCCTGAAACCCCTGTCCAGGGGACTGAGAAGGTGGACGAGACCCTGACCCCTTATCCAGGGTTGACAGGTTAAGAGATCATGAGCCCTACGTCTGGGGATGACGGCCCAGAAAGCCCGTGACAGAGTCCCAGATCGCCCCAACTCCATGTCCAGGGCTGACAAGGCTCCCAGGTCACCCTGACCCCTGTGTCCTGGGCTGATGGGGGCTCGGGCCACCTGAGCCCGTGTCCAGGGCTGGCAAAGCTCCAGGCCATCTGACCCCCGGGCCTGTGCTGATGAGGACCAGGTAACCCCGGCCCCGGGTCCTGGGCCGACCCCGCGTCCCCGGCTGACCCTCCCCGGCCCACTCACCTCTGGCGCTGCCCGTCCAGGCCGAGGCCGGCGGGCGCCTGCGTGGGGCTGAGCAGGCCCGGGGCCGCGGGGGCCCTGGCGGGAGGCTCGGGCGGCGGCGCGGGCGGCTCGCGGGCCTCGGCGGGCGGCGGCGGGGGCTTCTCTCCGCTCGGGCCCAGGCTCGGGGGCCGCCCGTCCAGGGAGATGTTGTTGAGGAAGAAGAGCGCGGCCTGGCGCCGCCGCGAGTCCCCGCGTCTCCGCAGCGCCGGGGGCGGGGCCTGCCTTAAAGGTATAGGCGGCCGCACCGCCCTCTCCGCAGGTCGCCCCTACCCCCGCCCCCGCCCCGCGCGCCAGCTATTTTATTGTTCTTTTGCAAACATCTTTCTTTCTCTCCCGGGTCCTGCCTGCGTCCGCGCTCCCGCGCCCTCCCACGCGCTGACAGACCCCGGGCGCGCGCTCCTTACCTTTCCACCACCACACCTCCCCGGGCCTCTGGGTACCCAGGAAGAGGTTTTTTGGCAGCTAGAGGAGCCGAAGTGCTGCCCGCCCGCAGGCGAAAGGGGCTTACGGAGAAGTGCCCCCAACACGTCTGAATTCGCTCCTCGGGTCAAAAAACTGTGTCCCCATGGCTTTTGCAGGGAGAAAGTAACTTTCCTAATGGAGTTTTCTCCAGTAATGGATTAGACGCCATTAAGTAGACGTTTTTCAGTGGCCCCTCAGGACTCCGGGCGGTGACAGGTGACCTCCGCGGGGAGAGGCCGGGAGCGCTTAAAAACCGAGCCCAGTGCTCCGGTGATGCGTCGCGTGAGCCGCCGCGCTCCAGCTAAGCGCCGCCGACGCCGCATTCGCCGGGCTGGTGTAGACGCGCATCCCTCAAATTGTGGACCCCACAGCGATTGGGTAGAATTTTAAAAAGGGTCAGTTTTCATCATTAGGGCGGAAAACTTCCACTTAGTTTATAAAAGCGTGCGGTACCCCAAGTTTTCCGTCAACCCCCAAAAGGGTTTCTTCCCATCCGCATCAGCGCCTGATTTAACCAGACTGCTGGTGAGGGCCGGGAGGAGAATCGGGTTGAACTTGTGTTTGCTATCTTGACCATCCTTTTAGCTTTATCGCATTTCTTTAAAGAAAAATCTGTCTTGCCCTCTCTTTATTGCTACTCCATCCTTCTTTCAAGATCAAAAGGTTTAGATCAAAGCCAAGATCAAACTCACTACTTTAAATAGAAGCAACTTTGCTATGGAGTATTTTACACAGAAGAGCTTCTTAATGGAGACATCAGAGTGGCAAACTTTATTTTATCCCTTCATTCTATATTCATAACTCGACTACTTACATTGGTGATGCACGTCTGTTTCCTAAAATAAACCACAGGTCTACTCAAACGGGGGATTCTTTCTTAGTGTTTGCGTTTCCAGGAATACAAAAAAGCCTAACTCTAGATAGTAATATAAATAGATATAGTAACCATTTTCTATCATTATTTGCCAAGTGCTATGAAATGCATACTCATTTGCTAAAGATTTTCAACACATTATCAAATCTTATATGTAATGTACAACCCTCATATACAATTTTTCTACTGTAAAGGAAATGCATAAAAATAGTTAATGCTTTGGAAATCTTGAGTGCACATATACATGGGCAGGTAATAAATTATAAACGATGAAGCGGATTATGCAGAACGGCTTAATTTTAAGTGGAAAGAGAACTTTGAACTATTCAAGCTTCCATGCTACTAATAACAGCTCCAGAATCTATGGAAATCTATCCTGGTAAGCGCTTCCTTTTACTCCCCACTAGGATTTTATTCCTTGGGAACTCACTGTCCCTAGGAACTGTGATATGAACTGTTCAATATTGATGTACTAAAGCAGTGTTCTGCTGAAATGGACCTTTCTTAAGGGTATTCTTTGTTGACTTGTCAACAAGTTTTCAACATACAGTCTTAGACAAAACAAAATCCAAAATAAATTCCAACAATCCAGTAATAGGAATAAGGATAACCATTGCAAATTAAATCTTATAGACTTCTATGAAAATACGTTGTTACAGCTGCATAGTTAGTACTTGAAGGCTTTTTTTCCCCTTAAAATTTTCATCTGATTGTAGTCTCAAGCACATACACACGTGTGTGTGCATACACACAATCGTTCTTAATTCCATAAATCTTATCAAGCCACTGGAAAGATCTTCAGAACTGAGACCTGGAAACCCTCTCTTGCTGCCATTGACACAGTCCCTTTCTTCCTAGCACCTATCTCATGAAGAACCTGGCATAAATAAGCTGAACAAAGGAAATAGCCTACCGTCACTCTGCTCTTCCAGTACTTTGTTGGGTAGAAAGCAAAAGCTGTGGTCCATTCTGTTAGAATTGCCTAATTTGTGTCCTGGTTTGTCCTCTTGCCCCACCTCCAATCCCCACTCCACACAAACCATCCTCCACAGAAAATCCAGAATGATATTTTTTCAGAGGCAATGCAAATGATATCACTTTGCTTCACTCAGAATGCTTTTCCTTCACTTCTTTGCCTACTTATCCTCTACTTCTGAGCTTAAACAAAACTTTTTCACAAAGGTCTTTCCTCACTCCTCGGTCCACATTATGTCACCCCACTATTCTTTCTAATAGCATCCTCTTTATTTCCTTTAGAATGATTATCTTTTACAGCTATTTAAAATTTTTTACTTTAAATTTAGAGACTTCACTTTTTAGAGCAGTTTTAAGTTTACAGAAAAATTGAGCAGAAAGCACAGAGTTCCCATATTGACCCCCCCACTCCTACCCCCCCGTTACTAACATCTTGCATTAGTATGGTACATTTGTTACAACTGAGCAATCAGTATTGACACATTATTATGAATTAAAGTCTAGTTTACATTAGGGCTCATTCTTTGTGTTGTACAGTTATTATAGCTATTTTTTATTAATTTATTGAATGTTTATCTTCTCAACTGGACTTTACACTCCAAGAAGAAAGAGATCCTGTCTCTTTTGTTCATCATTTTTGTGCAGTCACTGACAACACTGCCCGGCACATAGTAGCTGTTTGATAAATATGTTAAATAAGTAAATGGAAGGATAAAAAAACAAATGAATGAATATCACATGAAATTTCAAGGGGAAGGAGTCTTAAGATGAAGGTCTTCCTAATTTACTCCTGTCTGTTTCACTACTAAAATGCCTTAATTTGTAAAGAGTCTAGAACAGTGCATTTTAAAAAAAGAGAGGCCATGGGATATTAGTTCCATTGCCAGGGTAGTTCTAAAATGACTTTTAAAAAAAAATAAAAACAGAAATGAGAAAAGTTCCCAATTCCCTCACATATTAATCACTAAAATTATATTCCAAAATGGTGCTAGTCAGTGAATTTAATCTAGATTGAAAACTTAACATATTGCATGATACTGGAAAAATATTAATACTTTTTGATTGTGTTCAGCCCGACCTAAATCTCCCTTTTTTCATGGGCTGGAGGCAGACCACTTTTTTGAAAAATTGGACTTCTGTAGCCATCCGGGATGGGTATTCTAATAACTATCTTGGAGAATGTGGCAAAAGCACTTTAAAGCTATCTTTTAAAAGCACATGTTTGGCTGGGCGCGGTGGCTCACGCCTGTAATCCTAGCACTCTGGGAGGCCGAGGCGGGTGGATCCCTCAAGGTCAGGAGTTCGAGACCAGCCTGAGCAAGAGTGAGACCCCCGTCTCTACCAAAAAATAGAAAGAAATTAGCCAAACAACTAAAAAATACAAAAAATTAGCTGGGCATGGTGGCGCATGCCTGTAGTCCCAAGCTACTTGGGAGGCTGAGGCAGTAGAATCGCTTAAGCCCAGGAGTTTGAGGTTGCTGTGAGCTAGGCTAATGCCACGGCACTCACTCTAGCCAGGGCAAGAGAGTGAGACTCTGTCTCAAAAAAAAAAAAAAGCACATGTTTTCTATTTGAATTATAACTTTTAAAATGTCTCATATAGTAGAGATGCAAGTTTTGCAAGGAATTGTTCTAAGAAACTTTCTTGTCAAAGCAGTTTCTAATAGCTGAAAGAGGCTGAAGAAAATGCCATTACTTTAAAATCATTTAACCTGGGGGGAGGGGGGGCAAGGGCAACATACGTAACCTAAACATCTGTACCCCCATGATATGCTGAAATAAAAAAAAAAAAAAAAGTCCTGGGGAAAAAAAAAATCATTTAACCTGGTGATTGCAGATTACTTTTGGAGGGAAAAGCTTTTTAGTTTTCTTAGTTGAAGAGGAAATTACTCCTTTCACTGGAAAGAGATAGTGATACCAATTGTTAATATGGGTGCCTGTCCTCTTCCTGCTTCTACTTGTGAGTGAGGTGCAATACAGAGAAATGAGAAGGAGAAGCAAACCTTCCTAGTCAACTAAGACCACTGAGCAAACAAGGGGAGCTCTTTAATGATCCCAAACAGCCTCAGATGGCAAATCACATTCCTTTGAAAGGGAAAAGCATCCACTATAAGAAGCCAAAAGACTTTTGAATACCAAACGAAGTAGAGAGTTCCACA